CTCGAAATGGGCCAAAGACCTACAGGTAAGAGCTGAAGCTATAAAACTCTCAGAAGAAAATAGGCATACATCTTTGTGAGTGTGGATTAGTCAACGTTTTCTTAGATGACACAGCATGAGCAACATGCTTTAAAAGAAAAAATAAATTGGACATCATAAAATTTTAAAAGTTTCTGCTTCAAAAAAAAAAACACAATTTTTATAGATCCTATATCTGATAAGAGTTTTCGATCTAGACTACGTAAGAATATTTATATTGATAACTCAGTAACAAGATAGTCAAATTTAAAAATGGAGAAAAGATACAAATATACATTTCTCCAAATAAAATATGTAAGTGACCAGTAAGCCCCTGAAAAGATACTCATGGCTATCAGGAAAATGCAAATCAAAAACACAACTGGACACCCATGAGATAGTTATAATCAAAAAGATGTATCACAAATGTTGGCGAGAGCAGGGAGATACTTGTAAACCTCATACACTGCTGGTGAGAATGTAAACAAGGCAGCAACTGTGGAAACAGCCTGGTGGTTTGTCAAATAGTTAAGCATAGTACTACATGATCTGTTATTCCACTCCTAGGTATACACCTGAGAAGCAAAAATATGTGTTGACACAAAAATTTGTATAAATATTCATAACATTATTCATAATCACCCAAAATGGAAAACCCAAAAGTCCATCAACTGATAAACAGTCTAGCCACGTAATGGAATGTTACTTATCAATGAAAAGAAATGAGGGGCTTAGCACTATGAAGCTAACCATAGCCACTGCAGCACAAGTCCAATCCCTGGCCAGGAAGATGCCCCACATGGAGCAGCACACCTCTCCTGTCTCTCCCACAGCTCCTGTCACTCCTCAGCAGTGTATTGCAGTAGATTTGCCTGTTCTGCTCCCCACTCTGTCTCTGGTGAATCCTCTCACCTCCCTCCTCTACCTCTGGCCTACACCCAGCTCTGCAAAAATAAAATGTTTTAAAAAATTGACACTGATACACATTAGAGCACAGATGAATCCTAAAAGCACTGTGCTAAGTGAAAGAAGTCACAAAGGACTATGTTATATGTTCCATTTATACAGAATGTCCAGAATAGGTCAATCTATAAATACAGAAAGTAGTTTAGTTGTTCCCTAGCTGTGGAGGGAGGTGGGATTGAGCCTTGAGGCTATGGAAACCAGGGATTCTTTCAAGTAATGAAAATATTTTTATTTATTTATGCATACAAGAACTGGTACAGGCCAGGGGAGTGTGTGTGTTGTATGTGTGTGAGAGAGAGACAGAGAGAGGATTCACCAGAGACAGAGTGGGGAGCAGAACAGGCAGACTAATGAAGTACACCGCTGAGGGGAGCAGTAGGCGAGATAGAAGAGATCTGCTCACCATGTGGATCACCTCTGGGGCCTGGGATTTTGCAGTGCTGCATCCTAACCGTTGCACCACCAGGGAGGGCCTTGGCCAGATTTAAACAGAGTCAGTTCAAAAGGCAACCTTAGGCTTCACCACACTACAGGTTTCTTGGACCTTCAAGCAGGTTGTATGTGTCCAACCCTAGGGCTCAAGGGGCTGATTGAAGGCTGGAATAGCCACTGTGGGGAAGGTGTTACAGGACAACCTCAGGAGAGGTTGGGACATTTAATTCCTCCATGGAGGCAGTGGTAGCTTATAGAACTTTCTAGCATTGGTTTCAATCCTCTGTATTCTAAGCAGGAAGGGGGCTGTGTGCTGAGACCAATAGAGAGGGAAAGAGGCTGTGGATAGCAAGGCTTAGGAGCAACACCCAAGAACTTGGTCATGGGTGCTGCTTGGAGGAAACTAAGATTGACCCTGGAGGGTGGAGGGTGGCCCTGAGATGGTCATGGTGCTGGGAGAGCCCCAGCCACACACTTTCCTAGAAGATCCCTTCCTGTACTTCATTAATGATAAATTAACTCTTTTCCCTCACAAACGCCCAGTGGGAGATGACTGACTGAGAACCTTTCAAGATGTTTCCTATCCTTTGGATCTCACCTTAAGGTGCCTTTGGTCTGGAACACTTTGAAAAAAAAAAAAAGTAAGGTCATTCAAGATTAAATATTAAGGTCTCAATAAAATTGACAGAAAGAAAAATAAATAAGAATATTAAGGTTTTCATTTAGTCAGATGCCTTCAAGTGTACTTTACGGGTCATGGAGTGATGGGACACAGACTCCACATTTAAACTGTGTAAGGAGAGAAGAAACCTTTGGTTTCCATGTGCTATGAGAACAAGGTTGTGTGATCTTGGGGAAGCCACTTCCTCGCTGGGTGTTTCCACTGCTGTAAAATAAGAGACTTGGAATTTTAATCGAAAAACATTCACAATGTCACCACAGAACACGTAGCAGGTACTTTACAACATTTCTCATTGAATCTTTACAATATTGAGGGGATAAGCAGAGAGATGTTAAAGAGATTAAGTAACTTGCTGAGGTCACACAGCTAGTCAGAGACAGAGCTCAGGTTTCTCCGGGTCTATCTGAAGTGGTTTCATCAGAAGAGACAGAAAGCAAAACATGAGCTACTAGCTGCTGTCAACCCTACCAGTGGGGTAGAGCAGCGGAAAAAGCTTAAATGTAAATATATATATATATGGGTATACATTCTATGAGAATCTACGAGACTGATTTAAAATGTGCCTACACCCGCTAGGGTTTGTTTTATTCGTTGTTAGGACAACCTCAGTCCCCAGGAACCTGTCACTAACACTCCTTACCCATTTGCTACTGCTGATAGAATCCACCTTTCTGCTACCTAGAATTCTTTCGCAGTACAAAAACTAATGCAACGGCGAGATGGGCTGGCTCCTGCGATAACAAAGTCCAATCTCCAACCCCACCCTCTCCTCCCGATAATACCCAGGCAGTGAAGACAACCCTCGCTGGCGGCAGGATTCATTCCTGCATCTCCATCTGTGATGCTGTGTCTCTGATCCTGACCCAACTTCACACCTCACGGC